GTATTTGAATAATCAAAGAGTAAATATAAAATCTTTATAAAACTCTATTACCAAAGTTACTGAAAATAGAGAGATTGTAAAAATAATATTAGAAGTGTTACTATATCTCACTCGTCAAAATTCATCTTTTAGAGGTCATGATGAATCATGGCTATCTAAAAATCAGGGAAATTTCTCTTGAATTTATTAAGCTTTTAAACAATTCGCTATAAGCAAAGGCCTTACTGAAATAGATCTTCCTCAAGAACGAGTTTGACGCAAAAAAAGGATGCCAGGTGAAAATACATCCGATCATTATGTTACAAAACAAGATGATAATGATTTAGATCTATACAATTGGTAGGTATACGTAAAACATATTATTTTAAATTTTCTTGTACTTTATTTAAAGCATTTAAAGTCAAACAATATTTTAATTACATTAAAATTTACATCCACTGTAGTTTTCTTGTTTTGGTCACTAATTTATTTAGGACATCATCAGGGTTAATCATTATATCACTATGTGTATTCATCATTGCCAAACCATTATTTTCTAACCAACATTTTCACATGTGATGTTTGGTAAATACGTTTTCAAACCTTTTTTTTTTTTGTTTTGGTTGTCATATTATGCAAGAGTGGGCTATGTTCGTGGATTCACTGACCTGCCTCCATCCGATTAAGATTCCGCGGCATTTTAACACGCGGTCCAGTGGCTGTTGTTTATTATTGGGATTTTGTGATGCATCACAGCGCGTATATACCACTGTTATCTACCTCCGCGACAGTGGCGGATCGTGTGTATAAGCACAAGTGCACGTGCACAACCTACCTAAACCCAAGAAAAATTGAAAACATACATCATAATAACACAACTAAGTACCTGTGATGTAATAAGGATTATTTTCAAAATGTAAAAATATAAACTCAGAATATTATGAAAATAATGATATTATAATATTATATTTAATAGTTGGATTAGGCTATTTCGACTGCTAAACGGCCGTCCGGCTGTCCGCGACGGAACGGTATCGGCGTGTACTATTATAGTAGTGCAGTTGTGCACATTTGTACCGTGTAAAAATTAAAGCAAGTCGATACACGCAGCCCGCGTTCTAATAAAATTGGTGTGCACATAACCAATTAAATTGTTTTCAGCGAGTTATTTTCGACGTCGCCGCGTCGTTGTGCGTCGGCATCGGCATTATTATGTTATTATAGTTTATTTTTACTCTCATTCATTTGTTTTACTCCGATTATCAGCTGATTATATTAGCTAGTCGATCATTATCGGAAATTCAAAACATTAATCGTGACAATCGTGTTTCTGACGACCGTCATTAACGTTATTCGTGTATTTGTTTTCAATTTTTAAAATTAACTCAGTACAGCAAATACTGCAATGTAATTTTTCATCAATCTCGTTGGAGAAAAAGATGGAGATAAGAAATACAGGTAGGCCTACTCCAGATTTAAATATTAAACAAATAACTAAATGTAAAACGAGAGATTATTACTACGTTTACATGCATCCATTAATTCGTATTAATTTGATTCGTATTGAATCAATTCGAATTAGGTCACAAGTATACATACTATAGTAATACCGTATTAGGATAATACACTTCCACCAAACCAGTTTACGTGGCAACGTTTACATGCACAGTTTAAACCGATTTACCTTAATATTCGATTTAATAATAACGTGTATTATACCTTATCACAACAAATTACCGCAATCCTGATTCGGTTGTTGTAGTATCATCCGTTTATATGCATTTTGAACTCCCGTAGTTATTTCCAATGCGCATTTCAAATGTGAATTAACTAAACCGTTTTAGGTAAACCGAATTGGTATAAAACTGAATTAACAGTCGTTTACATGCATTTAACTCCAGGAGTTAACTAATTCGAATTGAGTTAAATCGGTTTTAACTGTGCATGTAACCGCGGTATATGTAAGACAATTTAAAAATGATATATATAAAACCCATGACTGGATTTGTGGTTGTTGTATTGTTTTCTCTGTCTACTTTTTGGTCAAAAATCTAATGATGCCGCTTAGGTAAAAAATGGAATAAACGATTTAATTCATTTAAATTCTAAAATCAAAACACACGAAAAATCAATGACACACATAAATTCTGAATTAAATTTAAACCTATTAGGAAAACAAGACATAAGACAACAACTTTCTAGTGCGTATCGGTTGAATATCAAACAATACAATGAAAAAATAAGTCATAATCGTTATATATTGAATAAAATCATAAATTGTATTAAGTTTTGTAGAGCATTTGAGCTTGCACTCCGAGGTCACGATGAAAAATCAAATTCAGAAAATCCCGGCGTATTTCGAGGTCTTATAAACTTAAGTTCAGAGTTAGATTCGGTACTAAAATGTCATATTAAGAACTCTTCGGTATTTAAAGGTTTATCTAAATCAATCCAAAATGATTTACTAGAATGTTGTTTAGCTGTATGTCAACAAAGAATTAAAAATGAAATAAAACAAGCAGAATATATTTCTGTAATTGCTGACGAAACAACTGACGTATCTGCTCAGTTTCAATCGCTGCAAAAGCAGTATGTGACATTTTTATTGTCAACGTTAAAGAACGGTTTGATTATAAAAATCACTTAAATGCTTCGCACCTATTTTTATCTACCAAATATCCTATGTACGAAAATAACTTTCCAAGTGACCATTTTAATAAAACTATTGAAGCATATCCTAGTTTAGATGTTACTAAACTTAAAACTGAACTACAACTGTTCTACAAAAGAACCGATTTCCGTGATATTAATTCAACAGTTCATTTATTGAAATTTAAAATTGAAAATAATTCAACACTAATATTTTCTGAAAGCTAAAAACTCTTAAAAATAATTTCAACTATTCCAATGACTACAGCTGAAGCCGAAAGATCGTTTTCTACATTAAAACGTATTAAAACATTTTTGAGAAATTCAATGACAGAAGATCGACTTACAGCACTAGCAATGTTATCGATCGAAAAACGGATGATCAATAACATTTCAAACTTCAACGAAGAAGTAATCAACAGATTTGCAGAAAAAAAAAAGAGGAGAATCGATTTAACATATAAACATGTACCTGAAATATAATAATTTGTATCTACTTTATCGTAGTATTTTTACTTGAAAATGTATTATTATTATTATTATTATTATTATTATACTTGTAAAAATAGGTATAAGCAAAAGAAAAAGTAATTGGTAAATAACTAAAATTTGAAAACAATTATTTAATACAATTTATAATATATGTATATATATATTAATATATATATATTATATATATTGTATATATATATTATATTGGTTATTTTTTTTTTTTTTGATGTGCACTACTTCATTAAAAACTCACGAGCCGCCACTGAAAACATCAGTACTTTTCAATGGAAATCTATCATCGTGATTTATTAAATGTTAGAAATTGTTAGGGTGACAATGAATGAAAATGAATAAATGAAACTTTATTGGTATCGGTAGTATTGCAACATTCATAATCACGTGGTCTCTTCCGTAAATTGTTGTCTTTTCGTGGACGCCGATAGTATGATTATGTTGCTGTGATGTTTCAAACATCGTGTTTCCTCGTCAACCAATCTTGTTGTCCAACATTGTTTCATAGCGGCCCATCTATAGGTCAGTGACTAAGTGTACCTTTTAGTCAGTAGAAGAGAAACAAGTTCGAAACGTCACACATGGTATGCCAGAACTTGCATACTATTCCCTCTACACTCGATTTTATTAAATTTTTTACTTATTCAACGACTAAAATGTAAAACCTTCTACATAGTGGCAACTTGAGGTAATTTATGTAAGTATTAAACTTTATCTTGCATTCAACAAATTAGGAAAATAAATATATATATATGTATTTGTTATACCTTCCAAGATAAAAAATACCATTATTTACTTTATATCCTCCTTGCTTCATATACAGCAATTATTGATCAATAATCTTTTTCAGAAAATCTCCTGTGAAGAGTGTCCTTGATGCAGTGATATAGCATTTGGCAAGTAGTGGTATAATAAGTAACCAGAGTAATCCTGCAGTAGCTATTATATTGAATTAAAATATTATTATTTGATTATTAAATGACAATAATAATACAAAGATTATAAATTTAGTTAAAATTTTTAAACTTGATTTATGAAAAGTTTGATATAAAGCATTAATTTAAATATTTTATTAGATTTTTATAATATTTTAAATAAATTACAAAATTATCATAGTTATTCCATTCAAAATGAAAAAGTAAAAATTAAAAAGGGATCTCCAGTTCCTGGAGGAATTTTGATTTTGGTAGATGAAAAAAAAAATAAATGAATTAAAATTTGAAACAAAATTGGATTGATGAATTTGAATTGAATTATATTTAATAATGATAAAAGCAATATATTAAGAGTTAATTATTATCAGTTAATTTTAATCAAACAATTTAAGAGTTTCAAGTAGGTGTAAAATAAATGAATTTGATTTTTTTATCATTAAATATTATAAGTGTGAAATTCAAAAATAAAAATGGAAAGGGGATCCCCGGCTCCCGGAGGGAAATTGATTTGGGTCGGTCCAAAAAAAAATCCAAGTTCTGAAAAAAAATATAAAAATAAATGAATTAA